GGCCGATTCTGCTGGCACGCCTACTCCCTCGCCCCTCACAGCAGGCACCTGCTGAGTACCCATTAGATGCCAAGTTTGGGCAGCACTTCCCCTGACAAATCCAGCCCGTGGACCCTTCCCAGGTGCACACCCCAGTGGACATCCTGTTTTTCTCCCTCCTTCTCTCCCTGCCCTGACCACATGTCCTGGGCCAGATGCTTATGAAATTCTATGAGTTCTTCCATCACCAGGCTGCTGATGGCCTGGTGCCCAGGGCGTGGCTTTGAGTCACGTGCTCTGGGGCTCGGTGAGGCGGAGACAGGAAACTCACATCCCTCGGTGGTGCCAGCCCAGGCTGACTTGGAGTGGGGCCAGTCACTGGTCCCATCACCACACATCCACGGGGCACCCTGTGAACAGATATGTGAGAATGTGATCTGGAACAGGACGTGCTGTGTCCCCAGGTCACAGGGAATGTCAACATGAGGATCCAACCATGGCATATCTGTTCACTCATGACCACAACTGCACAGCAGTAGAGACAGGCTCCACTTCCTAAGATCACAGGACCAGCATTTGAAGCCTAGCCATTCACTAGTTGTGTGGCCTTGAGCAAACCACTTCACTTCTCTTAGCCTATCTTTACTTACTTACACCTAGTAGATGCTCAATAGGTGTAGCTTCTAAAAAAATCAAGATCAGAGTAAGCACAAATATACACTGAGTGAGTCAGTATGTCTACAGACATACATCATCATAATAATTTACACACCTGTTGGTGTGCACATGGATGTATATTGGTGTGCACCCACACATGGGACATGCTTATTCAAGGATTTGTGTATAGGTCCATGAATTAATATGGATGCATGTGTCAATGATGTCACTTGGGCTGATTATTTTTCTGATAATGCATGCTATCCAAAGGATTTCCTGAACACTTGTCTTGGGCAGGAATTGGTGTTTCTCTGGGTAGACATGCATATGTTTGCCTGTGTCTGTGTGGACCTGTGTGAGGGGTTATTAATACAACCCCATTCTTTATCAGGTTGGTTAGTTGGTAGAATCTGTGGGGATTGGGGCCACTTCTGCCGCTATGGATGCCAGAGGTATAGGGCATTCTAGACCTGGACTGTTTGGGTTCAAATCTCACCTATGCAACCTTGTGCAGGATGCTTAAACACTCTGTTCTCAGTTTCCTTTTCTATAAATTGGAGATGATGGTAACCACCTTATGGAGGTATGAGGACTAGTTTATGTAAAGTACTGAGTACAGGGCCCGGCACAGACAAGTGCTCTGTGTTGCTTTCTGAATCTCCCTGTGTCTGTCCTCTGTGATATGACATTACCTTGTCCTGTTACAGCACTCACTCTATTATATGGCCATTGTCTGTCTACAAGACTGTCCCTTCCACTAGACTGTGAGGCCCTAGAGGGCAGGACCATGTCTGAGTCATTCTTAATTATAACCTGCCCATTGCCTGCTAATTCTGATTTCTACTCCTTCATAACAATAGCTAGCATTTGTTGGGCACTTCTACATGCCAGGCACTGTGTTAATCTCATTAGATCTTCAAACAATCCCAAGAGATTGGTATCCTTGTTGGTCCCGTTTTAGAGACAAAGAAACTGAGACTCAGAGAGGTTAAGAAATTGCCCCGGCTCACACACTGACAGACTGCCTCACATTCAGCCTGCTCTCGACATAAGATTTGGAACAAAGATCTTGGGGCATGAATGTTACCTAACATCTGTCTCTTGGGCTCCCCACAGCTGGCTTTCCCTCCACCTCCCACTAACACCTGCCCCATCCCTGTTTCTCTTCTCACCTCGGGGCATCTCAGCTCCTTGCCCTGGCACAGCACCCCCAGAGGTCAGTGTCCTCAGATCACCCCGTCTTTGGCCCAGATGGGGGTGAGGTGGAGGATCTCCTCTGAGGCTGGCTTTGAGAAATAACCTAGCCCCTTGGGTCAGCAGGGATGAAGGAGGATATACAAGGCTCAGGAGGGAGGGGCAGCCCCTGGATATTGTGGGGTTGGATGCTCAGGCTCTGGGATAAAAAAATGTGGATAGAAGGTGGAACCCCACCGCCCATCAGCCTCCGTCCCTCTCCCAGGTCTCCCCACCTCAGAGAGGACAGGAAATGGAGGCGGGAGACAAGACAGCTTCCCTCTGAGGTAGGGGGAAGCTGTCAAACTGCTGAGCTGCCACCACTTGGATGGACCACTAGAGGGCGCCCGGAGGCAGCGATGGGCTCTCTGTGTCTATTTAGTGCCCCCCCCCCATGTGTCCCTTGGGTCTCCAGGAGCTACCAAGGCCCAAGATAGTGTGTATTCTGCTGTTGTTGGGTGGAGGGACCTATAAATGTCAATTAGGTCAAGTTGGGTCGTAGTGTTGTTCAACTCTTCCTTACCCTTACTGATTTTCTGTCTACTTGTTTCATCATTTTTTGAGAAAAAGTATTAAAGTCTCTGCGTGACCTGGAAACAGGGAATTCAGCTGGAGCAATTGTAGGGCTCTTTTCATTCACTTATCTCCTGATCCATTCTTTGTTTTTTTCAGATGGGAGAGTAAACCTGATTCCTGTTACTCCAGGAAAAATTAGTGATGATGATGATTTTGGAAATAATTTTAGATTTATAAAAGAGTTGCAATGATAATACAGAATTTCTATATACCCTTCAGCTTTGTCTCTTTACTCTCCTTTAATCAGTGACAGTTTCTGGGCCTTTTCTTGTCTTTCATGACCTTGACACTTTTGAAGAGTGGTGGTCAGATATTTTGTAGCATGCCTTTCAGTTTGGGTCTTCCCATGGTTAGGATGAGGTTATGGATTTGCTGTTGGGTGGGGTGGAGGGACACCATGCAGGTGAAGAGTGCTTCTCATCACATCATTTCAGGGGTCCACAATATCAACCAGACTTGTTACTGGCGATGCTAACCTTGATCATTAGTTAAGGTCTTCAATGTGAAGTCTCTGTTTATCTCATGCTACACCATTTGTTGGGAGCAAGTTGCTAAGTCTAACTCACACTCAAGGAAACAGGAACTAAGCCTCACCTCCTGGAAGGTGGAACGTCAAAGAACTTGTGGACACATGATACAGCCACCAGATAAATTAATAACTATTTGAAGGGGAAATAGTTTGAACCTATGCAAATACCCTCTTTCGCCTGAAAGTTACCCCAATCATTTTAATGTTCACAGATTTTTTTTTTGCCTGCAGCAATTATTACTGTCATGTGCTAAAGGCAATTTTTTTATTTCTCTCAGTCCTTCTGTATTTATTAATTGAAATTCCTCTGTAAGGAAGATCTGTCCCTCCTTGTATTATTTTTTTAATTTAAAATGAATTATATTTTAAAATATAATACATTCACACCTTTCAAAATTCAAAATGGATGGAAGAACATGTGGTGCAAGTGTCCCTCCCACCCCTGTCCCCAGCCACCCAGTCCCCAGGCCCCTCCCCAAAGCAACCAAAGGCAATAGAGATTTTAGGCACGTACAAGCAAGGTGCAGAAATCCTCTTTCTGTACAAATGGTTTCAAAGTATTTCTAGTGTTCTGCACCTTGCACTTTTTCACCTAACAATGTAACTTGGAGATCCGTCTAGATCAGTACATAAAGAGCTTTCTCATTTGTTTACAGTGTTCCAGTGCATAACTGTACCATGCATGATTTCTTAACTAATCCCCTATCAAAGAACATTTAGGTTGTTCCCAACTGTTTCCTGTTACAAACAATACTGCTGTGTTCCAACATGTAGAGTTGAACCTACAGATACACCCGCACAAGAGGGAGGGATCAAAGGGCATGTGTGTTTTCCATTTTGATATTGCCACATTGCCTCTCTTGTAGGTGGCACCAATTTACAGCCTGTTTCCTAAGGCTGCTGTACAAAGCACCATGAACTATGTGGTTTCAAAGAACAAAAATATCTCCTCTCACAGTTCTGGAGGCTAGAAATCTGGAGGATTTTGGTTTTTACTCTGAGTGAGGTGGGTGCCATGGGAAGGGGTTCTGAGCTGAAGAGGGACACGACCTAAC